CAGATATTTTGTAACTTACGACGCTGCCAGATCCGCTATGAGGAGCACATAAATAATCCACGAGTGCGGAAGGAGTTAATGCCATGCATGTTGTGTTGCTTTGCGCCATTGTAACTCTTCTTGTCCTGGTGGTACATTTTTTTTCTTTGGAAGGGATGACAATAATTGCATGATAGAAATATTTACGAATGAGCATATGAACGCCGTACTTATCCAAAGATAACCTATGACTTTGGACTAACAAGTAGTAGGTTTATGCTTATATACGACAGTATTACATAATATTATTGCCCCACCAAGCAACTTTTCCCATTATCTGTGTACGCCCTGAAGGACACACACAACTAACAAACAAGTCTTTCACATTAAACATGGCAATAAAAAAGCAACCATCCGACGACAATGAACTATTAAAATGGTCGACTTTCCGCCGAATCCGACATCACTCTCCTCCATATTCATTCCTTTTTTGATAGGGCAAACCAATAAAGATTGCGGGGTATAAATGTATGTAGCTTAGAAATTCATACCACTTTACTTTTCTTCACCATTCACATTATTAAATAGAAGAAGCCATCAAAAATGGCTGCAACAAAAAGGGAGGAAAACGTGCATACTAATATTATTCGATCTGGTTTACTTGCTGTTGCTGCGAGTGCTGCTTGTTAGTTTAATTTTCATTTGGTATATCTTACTCGGGACGAGAACTCCTTCCTTTTCGTGGTCCCCTTGAGATGAAGAAAGTGAAATTGAGGAGAAAGGAGACAAACCCAATCACAATCTTCCTCCCCTCTTCCTCTCCAAAGTTACTTAATTGTGATTCTGTCCCTGCATCCACTCCAATTCGTGACTCTCGAAATGGAAAGCAAATGAGGAGGAAGGCTAGGAATACATACTGCTACATACATACACTCTTAGAAAATTGGTGGTAAATCATTACTGACCGGACTCTACCCTGGCACTGGTAATAACAGGCATTACCGTTTAGTAGTGTCGTCGTGATGAAAAATTTAGCACTCAGAAACAAATTACTACCAACCCGGTAGGAAGTTGTTACCAAATCAATACCAGTACGGAGTATATATCTGACTCTACCAGATTTTTAACGGTGTATGTAATGTATACTGTTTCAGCCAGCAAGGCGAATGGATGGTGTAAGTAGCTCAGGAGATTTTGCACTAATGAATACTTCACACAAGGAATGGTCAAGCGCAGCGGAAAATGTGTGCAGGAATTAGGAGATGCTCAACAGAATGAGGATATTTACTTTCATCAGGTGTGATTAGGCTTTGATAATCAGCGCTTTGTCACCTTAATTCGCATCGAAAGGTGAAAGCAATTTTTGCACCTAAGCAAAACTAGGGATCAAAGATACGCAAATGTAAACTTGTTTATTTTACACAATTAGCATTTGTAGCTCATCACAATACTGACTGATGCCCCAAATGTAAAAGAACACGGAAGTGAAAACTCACAATTAACATTTCTCCGTCTCATTAAAGATGAAAGGCATTTAATAAGAATTAAGACGGCAAAAATTGTATACCTCTCATCCTCCAAAGAAAAAATCAGAATCAATCCCATCCATGAATGAAGGTCGTCGTCGCATAGCCTGTGTTGAGACGACAATTTTACGTCGCACATGGCCCAGTAAATCACATCAGCCTGCCGTACACACAGTTTCCATCCTCGCAAAAAGAAAAGTTGTGTAATGTTATTTCGCGAGTAATGTAATGTGATGTGAGGGATGCACAAAGCAAATTCGGAGAAGGAACACGAACAAGATTAAAGATCCTGATTCCAGATTAGAGATCTGTCTTGTAAAAGCTAATTAAACTATTTTGGCAGGCGTTCCATTACACTCAAGACAGCCAGCCAGCAAGCCTACAAGCTACCCTTCGTCGTCGTCTTCTCCTCCTTACGTCTCCGAGGAGATCCATCCAAACCATTTTTCTAAAATCTTTACACGCAACAACATCCTCGATTCTTAACCTCACTCGCTCGCCGTGGTTAAGAATACCACCGACCGCCGCAGTCCACCCCAAGAAAGTAGAGAAAAAAAAGTTGAACAAAATCGAATCAATCTTACTTTGAAACAAATTTTTCCTCATTCATTGATCCTTTAGCCATCCGTGTTACGTATATTTTTATACTTGGAACAATGTAATCTCGGTCTTCTTTCAGCCTTCGGAGAAATATGATTGTAAAAAAATATACTCGTATCAACATCCCCGGAAAATCTGCATCTGTTCCAGTCCGTCTCATTAGCTATCCTTAAGAAAGAATCATTAGTCTAAAAACATCAATCTTTACACATTCCATACCGCAGCAGCAGCCTCTCTTTTTCATCCCTGCGTCAGAAAAGCTTCAAATTAATGATGAATGTGACCAACTTACTTGGGTTTTCACGCTCTTTTTCGCGATACACGAAATGACTTGTGTGCGAACATTCAAGAGCGATTCGTAAAATAGAATGCGTCGTATTTTTTACGTGTTTTTAATGTCATGTCATTTGAAGAGAGAGAGAGAGAAATAGAAACAGACAGATAACAGCGAGCTGTCAGGAGGACGAAAACTCGAGCAAATACATACATAAAATAAAATGGAAGTCATTTCATAAAGGACAAAATCACGATAAAATACAGGATAGGCCAGTTTGATCAAGCAGGGATACATACATCCACCACAACAGATCATCATCACTCAACCCACACAGTAAAAACATGAGAGGAATCCGGCTACAGACTCAACCGACATATTAAAATTATTTTGACAGACATGAGAAATAGGAAAATGAAGAAAATAATAGTTGTCTATAAATCTGTGGTAGGTAGTAAACCCCGCAGTGAGGTTGTGCTCTGGGGGCATGACGTTATGAAAAGAAAGTTAAACCATGATCATTAAAGTGGATGTAATAAACTTTAAATTGAGCTAATTGTGAGATATTTTGTCATGGAGGGAAAAGGGGACGAATGCTAAATTTTTTATTAGTTGAGTTGAACTATTCCACCACCACCGACTATTATGACTAATTCAAGCAAATGGGGGCTTTGAGTGAAGTGAGTTAGTTAATATAGCAATCAGTAGGAAGGGAAAGTTTTGGTAAAAAGAGAAACAACTTTGCCCCAATGTAGAAGAGTAGAAAGTCGAAATTAGTTTTACTTTACAAAATCAGATAAATCAATATTTAAACATTTGCATGAAATAAGTCGAGGTTAGATAAAGTTTGGTTAGAGTATTGCGTATATATTCTCTACGATGTGGCCTCTTTAAAGTTTGTTTCAAAAAAATCAGAACCATGACGAGGCTAGGGAAAAGATTAGTAGTACTAAAATTGCATTAGAATATCAAAGAAGGCTACGAATTTTTATGAAGCATTGAAAAATTAAGAACTTGTTTCAAACTTTAATTTTAAATTGTGAACAAAAATGGGCATTTATGTGGAACATTCTACGCAAAAGTATATACGTGCAGGAAGGAAAATGTACGAGTCGCTACATCTCGTGCATTTCTCTTCCATTGTGTTTTTAAGCAGTTTGAGAAGTTTTACTGTCTGAATTTTATTGACCTATTTCACAGAAAACCAAATTTACGTTCCACGGCCTTTTATTAATGTCTGAGGTTTCTGTAATTATTATTGCAGCATAACATTTACGATGCCTACATATATCGTTCTGAAACGAATCTCTTAAAATGAAATGGTTGCATCAATTCCTTATGTTTCCCAAGATATTAAAATATTCCGAGCCATCCGACATAAAAATTGTGCCAGGACCACGACCCTTTTACAACAGAAGTAAATGCTTCTCAAGGATTGATAAGAAATCCTTGCTTTCTTGGGAATAAGATCTCATCAGTCCGAGAGTTGCAGCAGGAAATGATTGATAAAAAAGCGAATTTTTTTTCCCCATCAATCACGACGGGCAAGAGTACAATATAAATATATCCAAAGAAAGCTTGCTGCCCATGATTCTTTCGACTCGACAAATTGAGTATAGGGCATAAGATGGCGATTTGTAATTTAGTGATTCCTCTTCTCGACTCCTCTCTGGGAAGGAAATCATCTCTGCCCAACATGTAATTTCCATTACGACAATATTTCCAGTTTCCTATTCAAATCAAATTGCTTTCTTGAGGGCACGCTGAACTCAGGAAGAACGCTCTGGACAAACAATAAGTAGCTGGCATAGATTGTGGGCCTGATTTTCAAACCTATGCACATATTTATATTTATAAGTTGTAATTTATGTCAGAAATCGGGTCTAATTGCAACATTAATTATTATCATAAGACCTTTTTTAGTTTAAAATGATTTTCAAACGGTTTTCAGGACTAGATTTAAAAAAATAGTTTTATTTCCACTTTCCAATCTTTCTAGAACATTCTACAACAAACGTCTTCATCAGGGTCACAAATATGCAATTATTTTTCTAACAGAACGCTACCTCTTTAGCATCACAATGTTAACTTGAGAAAACGAAACTTGCCTTAATCCATCGTATGAATTCCTATGTACCATGTAGGATAAACCTTACATAGAAATCAACAGACCCAACCCGACAGACATCTACACTTTCTCCCAACTTTCTCCCACGACGGGCGCGAGTTTGCTAACTATTTCAATCTCTATGTATCCTGCTTTATCCCGTGGCCATGCTTTCTAATCCTCTGTGGAGAAAGCATCAGCACGCGATCGCAACACTGGAAAAAGCTCTGGTCACTCGAAGTAATTCAAAAAATTCCAAAAATTATGAAGCACAAAAATTTCAAAATATTTTCCGAGCAAAATTTCGTAAAGCTAAAAACACCCCTGAACTTTCACTACTTTCCCCGTGAAGGACCCCCACCTCGCACATTTCGGGTGTCTCGTGAGATACCACGCTGCCTTGTGTTTGGTTTTCCCTTTACTTTCTCCACTAAAACTAAGGTGAGTTCCCTACCTCGTCGGCGATATAACTCATCCTTTCCTCCTCCTATACAAAGTAGTAAGTAATACTCACCTGCCTTGATTCTCATAGCACATTATTTTCTCCATCCCCCAACCAGCACAATCCAAATATTATCCATAACTTAGGGCAGGATGAGCATTAAGTATTTTCAGAATTGAGTGTCAAGGGCATCCTCGAATTTCACTCCTTCCTTTGCAGCATTTCTACCTACATTTCTATCAATCATCAAATATTTACCGTAAACACATTTCCTTGTTAAACAACTACAAAGGTTGTGATCTATTTTTAAAGAATACTTTAACCACCACATAACACTACTCACTGCCGAAAACTGCTTCAATTTTAATAACATTTTATACCCTCTTCTTGCAAATAATCCTGTACTCGCTCATCCACACCCACTAATTAAAATACCTATGGTGCAAAAAAGTGCATTTTCTAACAGATTATTATTGTTTATCTAAAACAAAACCTTTTATCATCAAACGATACGTTATCTTATCAATATACGGTGGCTATTAAGGCGTATTTAACGATATAATAAAAACAGACCGATAACCAATTTACCCCACCGTAACTTGCATAAAGTTTATTCTCTTGACCTTTGACCCTGAACTTATGCATAACTAACCTACTTAAGGAAAACTCCTTTAATCAGTGGTCTAAAACCAGACAGAAAAACTCCCAAAGCTTATTCTATAAATATTTCTACCCTATTTCCTCCTTGCATTGATTGCATTATCGACGAGCCTTCGATTATTGATTTATCAACAAAAGTTCAATAACTCAATTTACTCAATCACATAACCGAAGTGAGACATACGTGGTTGGTTTTATTACTTCTGCTGCTGGTTGGCCGACTCTTATTTCCGATAACAAATTGTCACCGGTTTCCACAGACCTTCCACATAATTCTGAGCTCAATACCAATTTCCTTCCTGACTAAAATAGTCGATTTGTAATAGTCTCGATCAAATCCGTATCACTGATTAATTTTCAAAAGACGAAAATGTACAAGGCTTCGCCCCCACTTAAGGTAAACGTTTACTGTCTAGGACCTCGTTTTTTATTGTTTTTTTTTACAAATTTTTGTTAATTATTAGGATCTAGGGCTGCTAAACCCTAGTCGAGCGGCTTTCTTTATGTGTGATATGCAAGAAAAATTTCGACCAGCGATGATCCATTTTGATGAAATCGTGTCCGTCGCCAAAAAAATGGTACGTAACAATTTTTTTTTAATTTTAACTTATTAACAAAAGTTGGCACTTACCTTGCAAAATTTGACAAAGTCCAACGAAAAGTATTTAGGTTTTGTTTAGGTGGTTAGGTTTTGTAGAATTTTCACGTCTTAAAACAAATTTTTAGAATCAAAACAAACCCATTACTCGTACTACGTCGTAGTAAAAGAAGTATTTACTATTTAAATGAACTAATAACTTTTACCACCTCATATGCTGGAAATTTACATAATTTCTTACGTAAAATGAGCACATGTGGATTTTGCACACATTTTGCACAAGTAATGCAATTACCTGCATTCGCGCCTTCAACAAAGGAAACCGTATTGCGCAACGAACCCCACTGATTTATGCTGCTTTAAACAGTCCGGTTTTTAACATAATTTAATTCTATATGTATCAAATCCATTCTCCAAACAGGTTGAATTTAACAGTTTATTTGTAATTCATCACGTACACCTTTCTTATGCAAGTTCCTGTTATTTATTGAGCTATAGTCTGTGTCTGGAAATTATTATATAACGCGTGTTTTTATTGTATAAACAGCAAGTCGCACGGTTTAATCCAATAACAAACTGCACAGTTGTTTGGTCTGAAAAATAATAACCAGAAGAACCAGTTAGTAACATAATAAGGCTATTAATTCTCATGATTTTCCAACAAAGAATGACGAATGTGATCCAGTGTAATCATCGTCGTGAGTAAATTCAATTCAATTCACTTTCATTTCATTTCATTTACGATTGGATGTCATGCAACTATTATTTATTTAATTTCTGCCCGAAACTGGCCTAGCTGATTACTTGATAGGGAATGAATTGATAAGGGATCACTGTTACCACCACAATTATTCTGTCTCGCCTCCTGCCGCAGTAGACATTTCTCTGGGTGCCTTGTTTACTTATCATCTCGTGGTCTACATATCTGATCCAATTAATATTTTATTAAATGACTATCAAAAGTTTGAAAAATATGCATAGTTAGTTTTTTTATTTTAAATGTCATCCATTTCGTCCCAAAATTATTTTATTAAATACTCAGTATTGTAAAACTGGGTGAAATTGTTGTTCCCTTTAATTGACACTATGCAGACAGATGATACATATTCTGTGTTTTGAGGATTTTCTCTGCAATTTAGTTTTCTCCTTGTGCCATTTCCTAGTCAATGTCCCTCCAGACTTTCACCACAAACTAAAGTCCATTAGTAGTTTTGTGGAAATGGATACAAATGGAGTCGGGACCTGTCTCTAAGGGTCCCGTAACATTTGTCTGCTTTGTACATATGAATGGATGGATAAATAATATCACATTCCATGTTTCATTCCAGTCCGAAGTGAAAAGTTAATTTCCATTCGTCCTCTCTTGCTTTCACTCACTCTGTAAAATGTTACTTTACTTGCTCGATGTACACACAGTGGCGTGGCGTGCTTGGCCGGGCATTTTATGGGTGTGTTGGATTATGTCAAGTGAAAATGAACGAGCGTGGCATGATATAATAATAATGTGGTATAATAATGGGGTTAATTATCGCATTTGCATTCAGTCCCAGAGTATATAGTGCTTTGTCAGTGCGATGTTAATATTTTCAACTCGGTCCTGTTGACGACGGGAGTAAATGGCGAAATGCAACGACGACGGCGTTGTTGGCGACGCAGAGTCGCTCGGTCGTCGACAGTTGACATTTTTGACTTTGAATTTGAACGATAATTAAGCAACCTGTGGAGTTTTGATGGGCAAGATAATAAACCTGGTAACATTTTTGGTACTGTGTATGTACATAATACGTTCTTGTTGAATGTGTGTATTTCAGCTTGATTATGTATACTCAGAGAGTTTTGTAATAATAAGTGACTCGGGTGACTGCGGGGCAATAATCAATCATATAAGCACGTATGTAATATACTGAAAAATATATTACGTAGCAAAGAACAGGGCGAGGGCAAACTGTCATCTGTCTAGAATAAAGTAGCACATATTATATTTCAACTTTCACTTTTGGCGTGCTTTCATTTTAAACTAGTTTTATAATCGGGTGCTTTAAAAATTTAGCAATAGTTGGTATTAACGAGGTTTACGTACGTAGGGAGACAATAAAATGCATGTGTTACATACTTTCTCCCCTGGAAAATTGTACATATGTGACTTGCCATCGGGTAAATATGGCAGAACTGCCATCATAAAGTGAATTGTTATTCGAAGAAGTCAGTCCAATAATTATTATTAGGTAACAAACGAACAACTGTGATTAGATTTATTTCCTTCCTGCATTGCACGCCAACAAGTTATTAGAACATTACTTTCCATCCATCCATCCAACGTGGCACAACTTTCTTTAAATTCATAACCCAGTTATAAAATCGTATTTCCAATCCGTCACAAAATTCCTCGTTTGAAAATTGATTGCAATGTAATAAACTTTTACCATTTTATAAATATATTATTAGTTTGTTGCACAACTCACAACTCATGGATCAATTTATGCATGTTTACTTTTCTTGGAGAAAGTAATCGGAAACCAAAAACGAAAACTTTGTTCTTATCCGTTTATTTTTACTCGACATTACGATTACCATGATGTAACTTATTGCAGTGCAGTATGTGTGTACATGTTCTGATGACCTGTATAATTCCCCAATTATTATTAGGCAGCCAATTACCAAAAATATATTTATGACAGATTTGGGATGTGAAGGAGGAGGAGGACTAAAAAAAGAAAATTTGATTCTCGTCGAGAGAGCAAACAAGATGTGATTTATTTTATTGTTATGTTTTCCTTACTTCCTTTTGAATTAAGTTTGCTCAACATTTGGCTTTCTTTCCATACTTTTCGTCGGGCCTTGAACTCATCCTCAGTGTTTCGTCGTGGTTTTAACCATTGTTCAAAACTGGTTTAACACAGCATGGTTTAAAAAATTTGTTAATTTCTCAGAAGAAAACATGTGCCAACAAATGCTTTTCCAAATTTCGTGGTATTAAAATTAAACACCAAAATTGCATATTTTTGCATAGATTTGTAAAAAAAAAAGTTAATGTTGTTGTAAAAAGTTGTAAAAAAGTTGTAACAAGAACTTGTAACATTTTGCCCCATTTTATAATATTTGACGATTTGGACGTTTTGGATACCCAAAAGTATTTTAGACAGTTCTGGGCAATTTTGGACTAGCAAAAAAGGTTTTGCACGTCCAAAATCCAAAACGAAACACTGCTTGAACTCATTATTCTTATTTACTGTGTCATTTAACAAATGGCTTTCTCTTGGTTTAATTCAAATCATTCTCGCTTTCTTTCTCCTCCTCCAGAAGAAAGACGGATAGCAAAAGAGATTTACTTGCTCGGGTGAAAATCAAATTCACAAATTGAGTTATACTTCGTTTAGCCAAAGTGTGTAGGAGAAAATCTATGCCGTTGTGTTGAAATAAATTTATCAATCAGTTAAATTTTCATCCAGGGGGCAATTTGCCCAAGTGTAATTTGTGAGTGAGTGCCCTAATAAGATGCAGTATTAACGTAATTGTTTCTTTTTATGAGTCAGCAAATGTTGCGAACTGTGAAATGAATTTTGTTTTCGAGCCATGCGTGTCTTGTTTATTTTCTGATTTTCTTTCCCACCGTATTATCGACCATCATTTTTTCCCCGTATTATAGCTCAAAAACACTGTCCATTGAATGTCAGATTAGCCAGAGAGAGAAAGAAGTTGGCTAGTAAATTGAAAATGGAATCTCCAAATAAATGTGTTTTTTTCTTTTCTTAAGAAAGTCATTCGTGTAGTATTGTCGTCCTTGTTCAGCTTTCTTTCTGCTGTCGGAAGATTTGGAGCAGAACGAGGAAACTGCCTTTTATTTTATTTGTTTTCTCTCTTTCTCTTCGTAATTTCAAGATGATATACTTTAAACGTATCAATGGAGAGGGAAAACAAAGGGAAAATCAGAGTTCCGGAAGTTGAGCTACATTACATGGCATTATTCTTGGCGTAGAAGAATACATAATGCTGTTCGTCGTGTGCCCTATGGCTGTATACTTTGCTTTTATGTACTTTTGGGTATAAAAGAATGGGCGTAATATCCCTTCTTCCACCTTTATTCCCATGAGTGCTGGACACAATTGCAGCTTGAAATAAAAATAAATTAAGAATTTCATGCTCCACTCCATACTTCTTAAGGTCTGAATTGAATTGAATTGTGCTCTAGTCCCAAGTCCAATTATATTATGTAGATTGTTGAGCCACACTTGTAAAGTAGGCGTGTAGAATATTTGTATATGGGTTTGATTTGGTGAGCAATATGATTTTGGATTGAAGCGAATAATTAAATGAAATGATTTCTTATTCATTTGAGATGGTTCAAAGTAAGGAAATATATAAATATGCATGTATTTACATGCAGTTACCACTTAATTTTTGTGGAATGATTACATATTCAGCACCTAAACTTCACCTTGAATCTGTAATAAAATTGACATGACTGACTGAATTTTCGTTGACAGGTGGAAGTTTCAAAAGTCATGTCGATCCCGTTAGTCGTGACGGAGCAGTATCCACGCGGATTGGGAAAAACTGTTCCAGACATCGACAGTAATTTATTTATTCATTTTTCATGAGTGACAGCATTTGTGGTTCGAAGGTCCCAATTAAATTTCCGAAATCTTTGTTACAGTTTCGAAAGCACTTATCGTCGTTTCTAAGACTCGGTTCAGGTATGTTTCATTCATCTTGACTGAAACTGAAACTTGTGAGTAAGGGACTGTTTATTAGTTACATATAATTTTTTAGCATGCTTGTGCCAGATGTGGAGCGGCTTCTTCATTCACTCTGTGACGGAATTTTGGAATCTGTCGTCCTATTTGGGATAGAGGTAAGCAAAAAATAAGATTGTAAAAATACATACGATACAAAAGTTGCAAGTTAATTTAGCATGTGGTTCAAAGGAGATAAATATGTATTGGAATGACGTTCACTTATTTGATCTTTAATGCCAATTGTAGTAGGTAAACTATCCCTTTGAACACGTATGAATGACTTAATAGCAGTACCTCCAAGTATGTAATGTAGAGAGATGTAAAAAAAATTCTGCAATTCAGTGAACGGTTGCAATCAGTTTATGAAAGGTTCCAAAAGTGGTGCAACATTCAACAAATTAGTTGTCCTCTCATTTGTACTAGTGGGCGAATTGTATGTACATATCTTGTTCATAATGCAAGTTGTGATACAGCATTAAAATACATTAAAATAGTAATAGATTAATTTCAAAGAAAGTCGTCAAAAGAATTCGCGAATTTACTAAAATTCAGTCGATTAAGACAAAGGCGACCATCAAAGAGGAGAATAACCCAAAATTCTCGACCGTAAATCCAACCAACCGACTTGAAATTATATAGTTCGTTGTTATAAAATGTTCAACAAAAAATGAGCACAATTAATCTTTCAAACTGTGACAGCTCCTCTCATAAAATTCCATTAGTTGAGCATGCATAATAACTCTTTCCATTTGTCATTCAACTTACAGTTGTTGACATTTTGCTGTCTCGGTTTAAATTCAGTAGTAAAGGACAACAAATACATGGTGGTGAAAGCGGCATAGAAAATTTGTATAATGCTAAAAATTAAACAAAAAACTAGGCGACGTACCGAGGCATAACATACATAAAACGTACACGATATATGTGCGCATGTTGCCAAAATCCATAAAACATGAAGGCAAAAGAAAGGGAACAGTAAATAAAGAGTAGAAGGACAGATTTTTTGTATAATTCCTTGGGTGCATTATCTGCAAATCGAAACGCAGTTCCACAATTTAAGACCCAGAACTTGGGTCAATATTGTCCATACATACATATATAAATATGTAAAAGTTATAGACCGTCTCATTTTTATGTATGTGCTTGCTCTGCTAACACGAATATTTTTTTACTGCCTTTTCAAGTTTGGCCTGCACATGCAATACAAATATATGTATTTTATATTATTCCGTTCTTACTTAATAGACGTGAGAAAATCGTGTTTGTTTGAAAATTTCACAAAATTGCATCCACTTTAAACCCGGAGAAAGTCGACGACACGATACAAATCGTAATAAAATCTCATCCCATTCTCTCGTAAACTGCCCCAAAACTAAACTAATTCTAGATTTGGGTCTTTGATAAGCAACCGAGAGCTATCTATTTCGTACTAAGAGGGGCTTATTGTATGCAAATATTTTTTGTGTATCTCACCCTAAATGCCTCCCTGTTGGCTGGCCTACACAATTTGGATGTTTCGCCAGAAAAATTACAAGCGACTGTTTTAGTGTTGAACCTTTCCCCACTACGGAACTAACAAGTAGTAATCCCGTTTATTTTCTCCAAAAGTCACCACCACCGCCATACCAGCCAGACGAGGATTATGCAGTCGGTACTTCAGTCAGCGGCATTGTCGAAAGCTATGTGTATTACTTTATAGTGTTACTATTACTACTGCTGACTGCGGAATTTCTTCACTTTGGTCGCGAATCCACTTCCTCCTCCTCCTCCGCGTTCCCACTATATTCCTATTCGTACATACATACATTCTTGAATAACTAAACGGAACAAAATTCATTCATTTTATCACCACTGCAGCAGCAGAAAAGGATATAAAATCCATCTCTATATACTTATTTCCTCGTGTCTAATTCCGGTAGCTGTGTTGAATTTGAATTGCTGGGAGAAGAGAAAGGAAGGCGAAGCATAATACAAGACCGCAAGGGAGGCGAAAGTAGAATCATGAATACGGATTAAACATTAAACAGTGTCCCACTGGACTGCTTGATTTCATGTTATTACTACATTGCATTACATTATATTTCCTATTATTCTACACCCTCAATTCCTCACTCATCCCGACCTTTATGGCTTTATGAAAAGTGCACAAAATTTGGACGGTTTTATTCCGCAGTCTTTATGTATGTCTGCATTGTCTGAAGGAAAGAACAAGTTGTATGTACTACATGGCCAACCGACAAGAAGGATCAACGACATGGTGAAGGGCATGGTGAAAGTGGTTTTAGGTTTGTCATGTGAGACTCTACATTTCGAAAAAAAAACTTTCCAGTTTGTCCTGTCGGCAATTTAATTTCCTAGTATTGCTGGTCTAGCATAACTAGCAAAATGTTATTTTATTGTGAAACCATATGCTGCCTATGTGTATCATAATATGGAGAAAGTTTTGCAATTTTTCGTCCCTTTTTATCTACAGTACACATGTTCTTATGTATGTATGTATGTATCTCTTTCCACAACCCTGAAGCAGCACAATATGGTTAACTTATTTTTTATAACATGAAATCTAGCGAATTTGCGACGAAATGAAAAAATAATAGTTTAGTTAGTTCATTAAAAAAGAGGAGGGGAAATAATAAATATAATAATGTAATCTAATGTGGACTTTCTCTTTCCAGACCCACATTTGCGTCGAGCAGACGGCAATCGAGTTGTTATCCAGGAATCTCAAAGTTCATATAATTGGTAAAATTAAGGTTTACCCGGGTCTCTCTTATCAACTTTAATTGTAATCAAGTTTTATTTTCATTGTATTATCAGCGGATGCATGTACTTCGAGGAATAATGCGGACAGACTTCTTGCCTTGGATGTATGTATAAAATAATGCAATTATCTAATACACAGAATGGATTTTAGGTTGGGGACAACTGGTTAATAATTAAAATAATGTATACTTTTGCAGAGGCTGAGACAAATCGGATGTTTTGTAACTACCAGCGAGACTGTGATCTTCAAAATTCTTCAAGACAAGGACAATCCGAAGTTTGCGGAAATAAGACACTTGGTTAAAGAACCGTCGCCATACACTGGACTCTTTCCAGGCTCATATGCAAAAATGTAATATGTCCCATGTAAGAATATAAGTGAGGCAGAGATGCACATGTATTTTATTGTGAAAATGTATGCCAAAAACAACTATTATGAAGACCTTTTGTGTTAAATTGGGTGATGTGAAATATGTGAATTGATGATGATGATGAAAAAAATGAATGGTGAATATTACTAAATACTATTAAGCTATTATATTTAAGAAAAAACATGATGCCGTTATATTATTCTGTTGAACTGGTATTCAAAGCGCAACAAATTCGAAAAAAATCAAGACAAATTGCAATAATAATGATGTATGCAACAGCAATTAGCGTATAAATTAATGTGTGTATCTCGCGTAGTACGAAATGATAGCCTTGAGAGGAATATGCAAATGCAACGGGAAAACGAAATAGCAAAGCAATAGAAAGAAAAAATGTAAATTAAAATTACTGCATAATGTGTCTAATCAAAAAGCAAATAACTTTATATATAGAAAAGGGGTTGTAATGTATAAGAAAGTCTGTGAAAACAAGGCGATAATATGTATGTATATGGATAATGAATAATGATTTATCAAAAATACAAGTCTCTGTGAGGCTTTCTCATTTTCATGAATAAATCTGAATTATGTATTTCAAGCAGAAATCATTCAATTGTGTATCACCTCATTGAATAAATTATTTAAATAATCGAGTGAGATACAGCAGGAAATAATACTTCTTAGGATGACTTTTGTTCGGCGACACCAGTAGATCCGAATCCGCCTTCGCCACGTTCAGTCTCGTCCAAACTCTGTTACAATAAAAATTTAAGGATTACAAGCCGTTCTTAAAATGCATTTTGTTGTTATTTTAAACGTATTTAATTGTTACCTCCAACTCTACAATTTCAGGGTAGCAGATCTTCTCACAGATCAGTTGTGCGACGCGATCACCTTCATTAATTTCGAAATCGGCGTCCCCAAAATTGAACAAGATTACTCCCACATTTCCACGGTAGTCTTCATCAATCACTCCAGCTATTGAGAAATAAATTTAGTTGTTAACATTCCTTTAATCAACCTATCAACTTGATCATTACCTCCAACATCAAGCTTGTTCTTTAAAGCAAGGCCTGATCGTGGTGCGACTCGACCATAATATCCGGACGGAAGTTTAATTTGAATGTCCGTCTTGACCATACAGGAACCACGGGCAGGTACAGTGTATTTGTAAGCACTGCAAAAAAATAAAGACACACAATGGTTATCACTATTAACTTTAATCATATTAACTGCATTTTATAATACAAAATACTCACCTCTTCAGATCATATCCAGCAGCAAGTTTCGACCCTTTCGACGGAACGTGCGCCTTATCCGACAACTTGGCGAAATACAGTCGTGGCGTAATTTCTTTTATTTCCGGCACCACTACATTCTTCACCGGACTTTTCGCCACCTTTACTTCCGCCTCCTCAGAAATTTCGACTTTGTTATCGACGACGACGACTGGTGCCATATTTTCTTTTAATTCGGAAGAAACTTGACAACTTTCTTCTTCAATTTTGCTCTTCTTGAGGGGGGATGATTTTACCGGAGAATTTGACCCTTCACGTTTCGTCATTAGGAGAAACCTTGTTAACACTGAAGAAGATGAAGAACGACTGGGATGACTTTTTCTAAAATTCGTAACTGAAAACGACCGGAACAAAGAAGACAACCGCCGACTGAATGTTGTGGAGTTGATCGAATTCATGGAATTGGAGGGTTTTGAAGACAAAGAGTGCCGGCAAGAAGCTGAAACCTGCCCAGAATTCGAGTGGCACCGAGCAAGACCACGAGTAGATGTAAACAAACGTAATGAATTGCAAACTTTCTTAGAAAACATTGTATAAGAACAGCAAAAGTATGCCACTCATTGTGATGTGTGGTTATCCATCGAGTGGAAAGTCAGGTTGGGCTGATAAGTTGGCCACGTATTTGCGAGAAGAGAAAGGCAAAGAGGTTTTAATCGTGAGAGAAGAGGAACATTTTCGGGGAGAAAAGAATTCTATTCTGGACGGTGAGTGTGCTAAAATAAAAAGTAAAAGTCTCGCGGAAAGCGGTTTGGGGTTTGATGAATGTAGTTTAATGATTTGGTTTTGAAATTTTGAAATGTTGGTTTAATTATGTTTGAATTTCTATTGTAGATTCTAGAAAGGAGAAAGATCTAAGGGCAAAGGTGAAATCAGAGGCTCTGAGGTACGTAAATATTAAAGACTTATGATGTTCAAGAGAAAATGTACTAAATATGTTTGCATTTATTTCAGATTGTTAACCAAAGAAAATGTTGTGATAGTAGATGCTCTAAACTATATTAAAGGTAAGGAAATATAAAAATTTAAATATCAAGATTTCCTAATTAATTTAACCTGATTAAATTACAGGGTACCGATACGAAATATTCTGCATATCTAAAGGCATTCCCACGAGACAAGTCACCGTTCAATGTGACATTTCAAAAGAACAAGCATGGGAATGGAACATTTCTAGAAGTGAAGCTGTCCAGTATAAAAAGTAAACCTAAATTTATTTTATTTTCGCAATTTAGGATGACAAGGTTAGTGCTGTTTTACATTTTCTAAATTCTAGGGAAGTGTTTGATCATTTGATTCAAAGATTTGAAGCTCCTGATTCTCAAAATCGCTGGGACAGTCCGTACTTTTCTGTACTACCGAATGAAGGGTTGGATTTATTGGGAATTTACGAGTCGCTTTTTCACAATAAAGCCCCAAAGCAGAATAAGGCAACACAGAATGTATGCAGCAAATAAATTTATCTATATCTATATATAGGCACTGAGTACTAAAGATTAATTATTTAATTTTTCAGAAACCAGTTTCAGAATCAAATTTTCTGCATTCCCTTGAAAAAGTAACGTCAGATATTGTGCAGGTATATAAATACACATTAAATTTATCTATGCATAAATTAATATACACATTAATCCAATCAGACAAATTTACTAAACATTTTATCTACAACGAATAGACACAATTATTTATACCACTAACATCATAGTCTATTTGCAATTCAATCAACCTACTTAACAAATTATAATAACTTATGGGAACCACAAAAATTGTTGATAATCAAAGCAAAAATCAAGTATCAAAAAAATCTAATTATTGTACATTTTGTTTGTTGTCCCAATTAGGCGATCCTCTCAGAGCAGAAACAATCAATAGAGGATTTTAAATCAATTTCCGTTCCACATGCTGAAGCCACGATTAATCTCGAACAAGCCGTAACTTTAACCCAATTGACAAAATTAAAAAGGCAATTTGCAAGTCTTACAAAAACATCTAGTGTACAAGGAAATCCTGGCGAATTGTTCGTGCAATACCTCAATTCACAATTACGTGGTGATAACTTTTAAAAATAATGAATAATAAATACGAAATTATTTACAAATCTGATCAAAGTGAAAAAAATAAACTCGTAATAGTTGACCAATTGAAACCTAACACCTTATGAAAAATCAAATGAAGGGGTCTTTTAGAGAAATTTTAGTACCATTGATCGTTGTTCCCTGCTTCTTCTGCAGTTTTCGTTGTCTGCAGTTGCTTAAGATTCTTGAAAAATCCAGGAGTCGATTTGGTTACGACGGTTTCATCATCAAACACCAGTTTTCGAACTGCCGACTTCTTTGGAGAAATAGTAGGAGAAGTAGGAACAGCAGCACATTTCCAATTTCCAAGTTGCATCCCGTTGTTTTCTTCAGTAGATACAGACGCGTTCATCATGCAGTAACTAGCCCCACCAGAAAAAGAAGATTTTGTACCTTGTCGATTTCCAGCATAAAATCCTTGCTTGTTAAATGGACAGTACTTGATTGTGTGAGCACTGTCGCCTGTAGCGCCACAAATTCCACAAATATGGTTTCGAAGAGCTGGGCAAACCACGGTTTCATTAATGCGAATAGGATGATTTTTGTACACGTAGTCGGGTTGATTATTCCCCTTGCAGAAAACACACTCGTACCTACAATTAATACATCACATCAATAAGTCATTCATTGGACGTAGACTGAAGTAGACTCCCATGAAAATATTTTACACGTATAGAAATGATCTTACTCATATCGTTTGTGCGAAGGAGTGCACAATGTCATCCGACCTGCTGGTGAGTAGGTGCATGAACTCGTATTATTTGAATTCCGTCGGTTTCTAACCGGAGATTGTAGTCCTGGATGAATCCCTGTCCCAGACCAAGTCGTCCCCCTTTTCGGAGAAGGAGGAGAGACGCTTAACGTTGACCACAGAGAAGATCCAAAATCTTCACCTCCCAAACTTGACATCATTCCTTCTTCTTGACCTTGCATAGTATCCAGAGTATTGTCCAAATTGAGATTTAGTCGGGTCGAAAATTGATCACAATCCATAATTTCGGACAGATTCATTTTGCTCAAGTCTGTAGCAAAAGTGTGCATATTGTGAGATACAGAATGAAAAAAAACACCTTTTAGTTCTGGTAACTTACCAATTCCCCAAATTGAATTCTGATCCATGATTACTCGTCACTCGTCCGTTATCAAGTTTTAAAACTGTATCAAACACACACCCACAAAAAATTGGAAATTTGTCAGAGAGAGAACAAAAATTGTCGTCTTCTCCAACTTGCTCTGACCGAATGAACTTTTTGGAAAAAAATGATACCAAGAACCAAATTTTGTCCGATTCCGTTGTCACGCTGACAATAACGACAACGACCTCAGAGCAAATTCTCAGAGGAAAACTCACCCTCACCACTCATTTCATACGGCTAATACAGCCAAAATCTCATTCTCGTGTAAATTTGCCCCTCCAACTGAGGTCAGTTACTCCAACGAGATTATCGCCATCTTTGTCGCTTTTGACTTCTTTCAAAAAACATGTCATGATAACTTCTCTGGTGAATTATTATTTCCAAATATTTCAAAACATTTCAGAAATTTTATTATACGAAAGTGCATATATGAAAGGTTATAAAAATAGTTGATATTTAATTACACAAGGCAAAAAAACTAGATCACAGCACTACATGATGGAAATAAGAGTAGAAATTGTATTTCTGATGATAAAATGGAAATGTTTTGATGGGGTTTATACGAAATTAGTGTCGTCGGGAAGCTGGTCGGGCAGCTGGTCGCTTGGCTGGGGCGGCGGGGGGTGCAGAGCCGATGTTCGAGTAGATAATGTCGAGGGCCTAAATAATAATTAATTTAGGTTGATTATTTTCCAGTCCATTTGCGTTATTTACTTATTTTATCCATGTCTTACCTTCTGGATCTCGGCAGGGATTGGTGGGGACGTGGGGAGGTGTTCTCCGGTCGGTTCTAAAAAGCATATTTTAATAATAATTTCCCGTTCACATTGTCATAATAAACAAAATCTTACGGAAGCCATTCTCGTCAGCGACATATTGGACTTGGATAAGATCTCCTTCGGGAGCGTAGTATTGGTAAGATCCTGTAAAAATTCATTGAGATAAGTTTCGCTTTATTGTCACTTAATTGTGAGCAAATTTACCTTGAGACACTTGGATATCTTTGTATTCAGCTTGAGAGTCTGGGTTTGGCTTTAAGTATCCAGATTCCTAAATCACATAATTTTTTTTCGTGAAAAATACGTAATATTTTCATACTCTTCTTAAAACACCGAACTAACCTCATGCTTGGAACCGTCCGAGGTTTCCCAAAGAAACTTGTACGTCCCATCACCATTGTTTTCGGACTCTGAGCGAACAATGGTCACATCTTCTGGCTTCTGGGCGGCTGGGGCCCTGCCACGCTGAGCGACGGCAACAGCGACGATGGCGAGGAAAACCAACTAGATAAGACACAAAATTACTTTATTCGCACCGAAATATTAAACCGATTTATCACATTATACATAAAACAGTAAGGAATTCACTCACGAATTTCATGATGAAGACCTTGATATCTTTGTGATGAATTGTTGGTGAAGATGAGAAGCAGAAGATTGTCTTTGATGGCAATGATGGCAGGGGCATCTGCTTTTATACATTTGCCATTCTCTCTCCAAAATCTAGAAGTTTAAGGGTATCTTGTCATCTATAACCTTTAAACATCACCCCTTCGCATCCACAATGTTGGCTGCTTCTTCTCTCTCTCTCTTAATAAAGATCACCATATTAAAGATACTAAAGTTACCAGAGTGGTATGCACGCATGCCAAATTATTTATAGCATCAACTTTGTGGTTCACATTTTTGCTAAATTCTTATATAAACTATCACCTTACCATTGAGCAATCACTATCCCCTTCATCCACACTTATTACTAAAACGATCTGGCTACTTAACATAAATTGTATGAAACAGTAACGCCATAAAATCGAGATATACGTGCAATGCTTTCCTTTAATTCTTTCATATAATTTGGTGTGGTCCATCATCTCATCTTCTTCATTTTCATTACTGCATGCACTTTTGTTTATCTTTATGTAGGTAGTTAAACTGTCATAAAAGTGACGTGAAAAAATAAGCGTCACATTAAGTACACATTACAGCGGCCGGCTTTACTCAGACACGAATGTCTAAATATCACTTCACTACTAATCAATAATACGTCTTATCAATAATCTATTCTTTTCATGCGATGACAAGTCGCACTGACACCACGCGATGCAATCATGTCTTAAAACGATGCAATTTCTTCAATTGTGTGACAGATGGGTATGCAGAATTAAGGTAAATTTGCATTTTGTGATTTGTCGGGTTAAGGTGAGCCCAACCAGAATGGATACTTCTAATTAATTCTAATGTTAATTTAATGAGATTGGTTTTTGACTCGAACGTTGCTTGCTTGGTGTCAAGCAGGTGTGGTAACGATCCTATTGTTGAATAAGCAACCAGTTTTCCACCTTTCAATTCATTCTTAATTTTGTTTTTGACTCATTTTTCTTTTCTCATCAATACCCGTTTATGGAAATGGACCTCTTAATAAATGGCATGCCAAAAATCTATCCATTTATGCTAACTATATGCATAAGTGGATGATTACTCAGTTATCCTCACGTCAACCTTTATGAGACGGAATGTTATTGTTTATTAAATATTTAACTAGTTTTACTTTAATAATTAAATGTTAATTTTGTCATAAATAATAAATATTATGTTGCATCTTTATCACTGATCTTCATTGTATATTGTTTACCTTACATAAACGAGTACTTACTTGCGTAAAAGTATATCAAGCATCTGCCCCAAGCAAAGTTCAGCATTATTATATTAGTTCATGGTTGATAATGAAATGAGGACATTAAATATGCACAAGATGCGAATGTAGGTGTTTAATGCAATGCAAACGCTACAGAGTGACAAGATCATTAAGTAATTTACCACATGCAAAAGATGATGGGAAAATGAGGCATTGTCCATCTCAAATTTTTAATTTATTATTGGCTGCATATGTAACTGGTGCATCGTCGCATCCTCAAATTTAATTAAGAATTAACATAGTCATCTTTATAAATTTATAAAAAAATGAACCCCCATTTTTTCCACTTATGATTGCTCCCCTATAATTGTTATCCCAAACCTGAAGGAGATTAATTTGGCAATAATCTCAACCATTATTCAAGGACGGATGACATTTACACGCTGCATGTGAATCTTATACTCATCTTCGTCTTTGTTGTCAATTAGAGTAGAAAGGGCGAGCTTCGCTCATCCATTTATCGATAATTAGCCAAAGGTTACACATATACACAAGTTTGTGTGATGGGTACATACATCAATCAAGCCATGCAAAAAGTATCTAGTAATCTGTATCACAACACTGAAATACTTTTTGAAGGAAGAACACTTTATAATAATTAAGTGAGGAAGAGCCCAAACAATCGAGGCATATTGAGATAATTGAGTAAAACATTATAATTTGACAGACTGAGGACAGTAATAATTAACGATTGGATGTGAAGATCATCCAGATCGAATAACAAAAAAAATAACGTCTCATCCAATTAAGTTTGCAGTTTGATTTTTGCATTGTTGCATTGATTTTATAGCTGGAACTACTAAAAATGTGGAGGAAACGTATGTATTGAGGAGGATCTCTTGGCAAAATTATAGGCATTTAAAAATTGCAGTCACATACATAATATCTTAGATTTTGGATAGTTCTTCTTCTAATAAAGTGGGCTGATTTGTGTAAGGACTAAGGAAGAGGAGTAGCTCATATACGAATCTTTGTATGCATACATATGCACGTATAGTGCTATGAAATCTCATAAATATTTGTTCCTACATCTATCTCTTAATTGGAGGTCGAGATGAAGAGCAACAAATGGAGAACATTTTTTTTCATGTTTAATGATCAACTTCATTGTTTGCGAAGATATTAACTAGGTTCCTGCTCCACAAATCTTTTTACGTGCGTTGTCGGCATAAATTTTACAAGAGAAACATTCTAATTTTATGTTGTCCATTTTTAATGGGTGAAGGAGAATATTGAGAATAATGAGATCTTTAAAAGTAGATATTTTTAGATTGCAATTTTTATGTCTCTCTCTCTCTCGTCAAGTTCAGACTTTCAGAATTTGGTAAAATGCAATAAAACCAGTTTCCAATTTATTAATGGTACGTGTCATTCATAGTCGTGATTAAATAATCCTGGATGATACAATCGTACGATTTCCGTCGATAAAATCGTCGACATTTATTTCATCACTTGAAAGCATGTATTACATAATAAGCATAATTTGAGTAGCGTGTAACATTATTTTGCATGTTGATGCACTGCACGTCTATATTTTATCATTAACTAATTAACAAGAATTTTATATTAATGTATACTAAATAAATATTTTTTTACTGCTAATAACTGTCAAATCCATAATAAAAATGAGGATGCGATGTGTCATAGCTTGTACTATTTATTACATTTGACGGGATAATAGCAACTAGAAATTGATTTAGAAACAACTAGTTTTTTAAACACACTTTTTTGTTTGGTTAATAATTTCTACGACTAAAATTTTTTTAGGGTATGTAGGATAAGTACTCAGTCTGTGTTTAAACACTGCTATATCGAGTGTATGTATTTAATAATGGCATGTATTGATTGCTTTTTAGTTCATCATGATAATTCAGAACGTGGAGAACCATATTCTTGTATTTCTTTTTCTATATTTTCAAATCTGAGATATTTAACTACGACCAAGTACGTATCATTTTGAGAGCCTTTGTTTATGTAAATAGCATGATTTTACTGATTGTTTTGGGGATCATTTATTATATAATCTCAATTTTCAGGTCAGAATACATACGTAACGTATTTAGGAAAGTGAGTGATTTCATGGGCACACAAAATAATAATGAAGATTGTATTATATATTACGTTAATTTATCACTTGTCACAATAGCTGAAATTATTTAAGCAGTCTACCTACATACATACGCCTAATTTGTACATCATTCAAGAAGAATATCTGTGGTTGCTGTTTTTTTTAGGAAATTCCAAATAAAAAGCTGCACATAATACCATAATTTAAATAAATAATATTTAGATGCATGCGTAATTGAGTCCACTCTTCTACACAGAGAATATAGAAGAAGAATAGTAATACATTTGTAAATACAAATGATAATAGAGCAATGAAAGACATCCATTATGAGTAATACTCTGAAAAGACATACATAGTCGAAATAAGTTACATATATTTACGTACGTATTTTTAAATAATAAATAATTTAAATAATCTGGATGTATGTATACTTTGATAATTGGTAAAAATAAATAGCTCAAGTCGTTGAAGATCGGGATTCCCCCCGTAACGCGAGACATGACGACAAGAGCAGAAATACCGAGGAGAATACGGGGGCTGCATTTCCCTTAATCGTTGTCCCAAAGAGTCCAACGCCAAGGAAGGATCCAACTCTGCCCCCGGCCAAACACAAGCCGAGAACGGAGCTCCTGTTAAATAAATGACTTTTTAATTATTTAAACTCATTAACATTTAACTAATGCAATCACTCTAGTGACAATTTACCTTGTCCGAGTGGGGTATTTGTCAGCCATTGTCATCATGAGACTCCACGAAGCCGCAACAAAACCGTTCAGAAAAGTATGACCCACCAACGCCCAGATTGGGTCGTATTTCCAAATGGTAAGTCCTACGCTAATCGAAGCTGACAAGATAAGCAGAATCGACACAACAATGAGACGTGGAGGAGAACAAAGTATGACTAGCACAATTGTGAACAGAGATCCAATGAAAATTCCGGCAACAGGGAGGCCTGCAATATAATGAGGTTCATGCTTCATAGGTTCAACAGATTTTTATGTATCATATATATCAAAATAAATATGATCAAGACCTGAATCGATGACGTCGTTTGAAAGATGCATGTTGAAGTCTGGTATCAAGTGACACTCGGGATCCAAGCCTTGACAAACACAAAAAAAAACATTCAAGAGCACAATCAATTTAGAAAAACTCGTAAAATTGTGTCGCATGTACCTTGGTATGTAATATCTTCTAAAACACAGTCCTTGAAGTCCGACCTCCCCAAATTGGTATCTACCAAGAAGCAGTCAGTGAGCTCGGAATGAATGAAAAGAACATGAGAAGTCTTAACATTGGTGAAATTGACGTGGTGAAAGGAACAGTTTTCAAACTTGACGTGGTTCATCAGCTACAAAATCAAAATATATAAATCTCAATTTTCTGATAAAATTTCAAATTGAAATTTTCAATTTGACATGGCATGATTCACAAAAAATGTGTCTTATTCTCACCATATTTTCTAGTGTGACGTCTTGAAAGACACAGTTTCTGTATCGAACATTGATCAGATCAGCCGTCATGCTCGTGTTATTTATTAGGTTGTCATCAAATGTTTTCGCGTCATTGTCAAATGTCCTGAAAAATTTTTACGATATGTTATTCGCTCCTACTCATTTTCGAGGTGACGTTACTGGACGAAGAAGGTATGTCATGTCATGTTAATAATAAATGTGCTGCTTACCAATCTCTAAGCGTGGCTTGGTGAGATATCACCCACGACGATAAGGAACCTTGTCTGTTCAAATAAAATGACATTTTTCCATTAGAACACAACTCCATAAAATTGATTTTGTTGTGCCGAATGTACAAAGAAATAACAATAAATACCCCACTGCTGCCATTAGCCAAATTAGTGACAAGGAAAGAGTGAGCCTTCTTCTGTTTTCAGTCCACATCAAGAGTATTGAACTTCTGAACTGTAAAACGCAGAACAAAATGAGTTAGTATATGCTAAGTCGTGTTTCACATGAAATTAATTAGTTTAATGGATAAGCCTCTTTCAACAAAGAGTTCAAACTAATAAATTAGCAGAATTAATTTTATCATATCGTCAACCTACCGAATCCAACGCCCTGTAGAGATCACCCAGAACATTTCTTGGGCTATTTATCGTGCTCATTGGCATCGGCGAGGGAATCTCGATTTCAGAAAAACAGAACGTCGTTTTGCTACCCTTGTTGCATTTGTGGAGTTGCTGTTTTGAAAAATTACCATATTAATTTTTTCATTAAAGCTCGAAATATGTAGTGTCAAATTAATTACCTTGTAAATACTAAGAGATTCAGCGTCCCTCCCATTCTGCAGAAGATTCAGAGGTGCTTCCGGCATGAAAATGAACGCAATCAAGCTCAAAAGACTTGGCGCCCAGGCTGCCAAGAGTAACCGACGCCAAGCGCTGAAGTGCTCCTTTAGCTCTTCATTCAGATGAAAGCCCGTCGAGGGCAGGATAAACCATGAGATCATCACGACATACGCGGCCCCAATCGGCCACCAAAGAAACAGTACCGTAGTCGCCAAGCGGCGTCTTTTTTCCTGGATAAACTCATTGAAGTAAGTAATCACAAGGGGCATGACACCTCCAAGCCTGGAATCAACACAAACATTACATCAAATGATGATATCTGTCGATTCATGCAAATTTGTATGTATGACATGACGTACCCAAATCCGCTAAATATTCTGTTTTCCAACGGTGGAATGAATATAGAATGAAAGAAAATATAATTATCAACTAAACTTTTGTATGTTCCATCAACAATAAAATAAACTCATACCGTGCGGTAATGAATAATCCTTCAGTTGGCATTATGGCGCTAGCAACAGAAAAAATCGACCCAACACCCAAGCAGTACACTAAAGTTTTCTTTCGGCCCAAACGGTCACCTTAAAATTGTAAAAGTTCACATTTTTATTTAGGAAACTTCAAATTTTGACATTTTTATCTTTTATTTTACCCAAACTGCCCCAAAATATTGAACCAATCCCCATTCCAAGCAGTGTTGCACCGACTGAAAAAAATTCAGCCCGTGTTAAATCATCACTTGACTACCAACTGGACAAAGCAAGCATTATTGAACCGTTCTTACCCAGCCACGACTTTTGACTCGCATCAACACAAAATTCGAACTGTGCACTTTTTGACGACATAATTAAAGCCATCAATTCCGACAAATCTGCTGCCAGTGCCAAACCGCACACGACAAATATCACGAGCTGCATTTTCCCATGGCCCACCTGAAAAAAACAGGAATTTCATAGAATACAAATGAAGTGAATCAATCATCATCTCATCTTTTGTCTCTGATGTCTCTTTTGTGAAACCAAACAAATACTTTCAATCAAACATTTCCATTTCTAACAAAAACACAAAACTTTCCCCAAGTTTTCGGGTAAAATTCAAAGAAAATAGAATTTATTTGAGCATGGTGCCACTTCGAAGAAGAAAAAAATAGGTCAGTTGGTGCAGAACTACGGCATAATCCATCATCACCGTTCATTTGTCACCTTTTTTCTTGCTCATCTTCCTTCCCTACTTTCTCCGCCTTTCACCCATCCACTCCCCAAACCCATACAACATCCTGTCAGATAAACTAACAAGTTCTTAATTTCCTGAATCACTCGGAAGTCGCTTTTCTCTCTGGTTTTCCAAGAAAAAAAACGCATCTCTAGCAGAACAAAAGATCAGAGTGTGTCTGAAGTTTCTAAATTGGATAAAGTATGTACTACTGAATCTCGCTCGCTCGTGTTTGTAACATGAGAGATAAAATACTACTCCATTGAATGGCTTGGCTCACACGCCTTCTTCTTCCACTCATAAATCAATCAAGCCCAGATTACACTCGAGATTTCTTTCTAGAAGGGAGGATGATGATACCACGAAAGCAGTTTTACTGGCACCATTCTTAATGAAATTGGCAAATCGAATTTCTTCTTCCTTTGCTCCTTTACAGTTCAACCTGTCATCATCATTAACACCACAACTTGCTCACTCAAAGAATGCAATCTAGAGAGATACTAAAACCGTATATACATACGTACATACCTCTTGCCAACAGCAGAAGTTCGTGTTTATGAGGGTGTCAAACTACTCAATAAAGTGTCGTTTTTCCATACCTGCTGTAACGCATCTTCATGAAATCTCTCCAAAATTGTGGCATTTCCGTCTCCTTTTTCTCCATTGATTGCACCCGCACTTCCGACCGAGTGTCGACCCATCATGTCCCCACCACCACCCTCGCCGAGGATGGAGGACCCGTCCTCCGCCGTGTAGTTCATGTTGTTCCGACTGCAGGGTCTCACCAACGGCTCACTCTCCATCTCTGCGCAAAATGAAGGAAGGATTTATTTATTTAGCACATTTGGAACGATATTATTCTTAGTGAGGCAAATACCTAACAACGAAAAAATTACTAAGTATGCAGTTAATATCGTTAAAAAAAGTGACATTTTACGATATCTCAGCCATTTCTCAACCGATTTGGATGAAATTTTGCACAGATCATTTTGAGACAATTTAAAAAAGTTTAACGATTCGACTTAACGAATTTTTGATTTTCAGCCGACTTATTATCAAAAATGTACCCTTAGAAACACATTTATATTTATAGTTAATTACTGGCATATCTCAGCGAAAATCCAATTGCACAAATTTTAGAGCAAATTTGTGTGCAAATTTTAAGGGTAGAATGATCCAAATTGGTTGATAAATGACAAAGTTTTTCCTATGAGAGATGCAAAAAACTGGATGAATAAAATAGCAACACCATTGACAACAAAACATCCAAAAAACTATTAATTACAAGTATTAAATAAACAAAGTCCCAAAAAGATGGAAGTCTTGGTGAAGCAAATTCTCTTTCGGAAAATATATTTAATATCTGTAGTTGTACCAAGCCTCACTAAGATTCCCATCTTTTTGAGACCGTTGCTTGTTTTGACTTATCTTTGAACGAAAGAATAATATTTATCAAGGCAACCTTGGTTAATTCTTAATTATATTTAGAAAAGGATCGATCGAGCACGCAAATCCACTTTTGATATAGCTCACACAATTCCCCAGTAAGGCTTATTCGCGAATAAATAATTAAACAGGCACTAAAACTTGGGACAGGGTGGTTATTTATAAGCATGCATGGTAGAAGCAGTAAAATAAATAAATTGTCCAAATCTAATATCCAAATCAATACGTAAGCTTTTATTGCAGTGAAAGGAATTATGTATACAATTCTGTAGCATACATGGAACTGTATATTGTAGCAAGAGAGCGGTAATGTATTTATTTGATGACGGTCAAAATTTATGTTCCCTAACTCTTATAGACCACTAAAATCTGAATACACTTTCACATATTGCTAGGTTTTCAGGAATATTTAAAAAATATTTCCGCTATTATTTGAAAAATATATACATCTTTTAGATATTCTTTTCAAACATACACATATTGTAAATATTTCAATGATGTGAGACGATTTTTTTTTGCTTACAGAAATTGGATCACAAAAAATCCAGGGCATTATATTAAAAAATTGTGAAAATTCTTAGTTCATGCTTTTTCGTACATATTTCGTAAATATTTTGGACTTTTTTATGTAAATATTAAATACATATTTCATCGATTCTTCATAAATACATATCCACCCTCTGACTTAGCATACGTGCAGCATGCATGGTGGCATCAGAAGAGAAAATAATCTTGATTCTACTTAAGACGATAATAATCCAAACAACAACGCAATTAATCCAATCGTCTCATTCACTCGCTAACCCTACGTCACAATGACACTTTATTAACCACACCACACACCCTCCTTTTTTTGCAAGGGAAAAAGAAAGACTGTAATTAGCAAAGTTATACCACGAGATGAAAGTAAAGTGGGAATCATCATCATTTTTGTCACTCAACACAAACCATTTCCTTTCCTACATTTCTTTCAAGATCGTAAATATGTACATACACACCGACTTAAGTAATCCTCTTGAACTACTTGCAGACTTTTTACATTTGTTGACTCGAAAACAAAACAAATTCTGGTTCGGTAAAATCTGGCACAGGAACAAGCATTTCCATTTATTAAGTAGCTACATTCACAAATGGTCGGAAAATACATATCTACTTATGCGTCGTTCATACTTGAAAACTAAAAATATCAAAGTGAGTGAGTAGTAGTCGTAGTAAACAGGTTATCAGTTCAGGACGTCAGTCTGCATTCGATCATCACGATCAGCATGAAATGAAAGAAACTACTCATAATTTGAAATGCTTTTAGAGAGAAAGATACTAACCAGGATTACGTTGTGGCAAAACAACACCTTACGGTGATAACAGTCGAGACTATTACATGTGACCATGCAGGAATGGGATCAATTTCTCCCTCAACTTTCTTCTCTCCAAAGTTAGGAGTATTACGAGTGCCCTAATAACCAACTAAATCGGGAAGGTTATTCTCTCGAGTTGTTTGGTCGTATCGCCTTACCAAACAAATCTAAGGTCGTGTGTGTGACGGAGAATGTAATTCCGAGCCAGCCAAATCAAACATACAATTACGTAGGAAAGGTTAAGGTTTGACCCAAATGTGGATGGGATTACTTTTTTACAAGCAGTAATAAAATGCGGAAGTTGGAGAAATGTATATGCTCCCCTCCTCAAAACTGTAATAGTAAGCTTTGTATTTTGTATACAAAAAACTAGTTTCAATATTCCTTAAAAGCATGTTTTTAAGGAATATTAACCTCGGATATAACCTCGCATCAAATATTTATTACGTCACCAACAGCGCACTAAAGTTATTTCTGTCGGTACATACGTTAACATAGCAGAAAACCGACTCACCTCCTAATAAAAGATCAAATCAAATCATGTCAACGATCCATTGTGACATTTAAATGGACTAAAAACATACTAGTAAAAAACACCTCGTTATGTTTCTGATCTTATCAATCACTAATTTGAGGACAATTACTTAATAAAATTACTTAACTGAACACGCATGCATTGAACTAATTGCGGATTCACGAATGTTTATCATACTCACCTTGCACGGGAAAATCATCGTTAAGGACATTTTTAAACGTTGTGCACAGAAAGTTTTAGAAATGATCCTAGAAACGTGATGAATAATATCTCTACATATGTGTGCTTCTAGCTCCAACTTCTGCTCCGAATATGTGTTTGTTTGCTATAAGTAAGTGTTTGTGAACTATGATTTTGGTTTACAAAACAAGCGACCCCGTTGTTGTGTACATACTTTAATGTTGATGGCAAAAGTTGAACTCGGCTTAAACAAAATGTTCCGTATTTTAAGTGTTCACTTTTTCACATTCGTCACAAGCAATGCTACAGTTTGAAGTGTGAGAGAGGCATTAAGCACTTGAAATTATACGATGGTGCATTATTGTTAAATGTGTAATGGTACGATCGGGAGTGGGTGTGCTGGTTGGTTGAGTGGTGTGTCTCTGGCGATGCAAATATTTCATTACATTAATTGCAGAGTGAATAACACCAGCATTTATTAATAGACGAGTCCAGCGCGTATTTATTATACGTAGGAATTAGATATTTGGCTTGATTATTGAGCTGTGCAGGCAAAGGACAGCAGGTGCATGGAAGACATATAGAGATGTGCTGCAAGTCAAATGAAATTTACAGTTACAAACACAATATTTCTGAAAATATGTCATCACGCCAAACGGGGCTCGATATGTGTCAATGATTATGCAGTCTTACACCAGCAATTTGCCTTATGCATGTATCAAAACCTACAGTGCAGACTTGATATAGCCCGAGTCAGGCGTAAATCTGTTTTCAAATTTAAATTTTTAAAACTTCGAATTCTTCAATTATGAGCCTTTAGTAACACATATACCAAAATTTATCCACTATCACTAAATTTTTGTTAGTGCACACATTTTTTCCCCTTGGTCACCAGTATCGACTGTGACCATAACTTTGAAACGAGTGTATATTTTTTCTTAAAACTTTCAGGATATTATGTTACCAATATTCAATGTAACATATAAATTCCAGGTATGCGGGTGACTAGGGTCTTATGTTTTTGTTGGTGCACACATATTTTTCTCGCTGGCCACCAGTATTTACCATGACCATAACTTTGAAACGAGTGTATAGTTTTTCCTAAAACTCTCAGGATATTATCCTAGTAATATTAGACGCAATATATGTAAATTCCAGCCACGCGGGTGACTAGGTTCATATACATTTGTTGGTGCACACATATTTTTCTCCCTGGTCATCTTATTGGGTCGCCCAATAAGGTCCTCCAGATGAAAATTTTTCTTATTTTACTTCATATTGTTCCATTAGGAGCTATTACCAACTTGTCTACCAAATTTCAGCTCGATTTGACGAATTTGAAAAATTGGTATGGGTCACCCCATACGGTCTGTCCAGGTGAAAATGTGTCGAATTTCAATTCATATTCTTCCATTGGTAGTCATTAACAACCTATGTACCAAATTTCAGCTCGATTGGATAAGTTTTAAAAATCGGTATGAGTCACCCCCTAGGGTCCCTCGAGATGAAAATTTTTGAAATTTTACTTTGTATTCCTTCATTAGAAAGCATTATCAACCTCTGCACCAAATTTCAGCTTTCTACGGCAATTTTGAAATTTTGGTGCATAATACCCCACCCACTCCGATGACCCCCACTGGTCAACCACTTCACCGATTTCGCCCATCTTCGAACTTACCTCCTCATTTGACCCATACTACATATGTGCAAAATCTCAAGTCGATCGGATTAGTTTTACGGCAGTTATCGCAAACCAGACAGACGGACATGACGGGTACATAAACCCTGACTCGGGCTAAAAAGTTGATACTTTTGAAGGTCATACAAGATACTTGAATGTTTAATATGCAGTATTTACCACGGGATCCAATTCTGATATCATCTGCAACTGTGTTATATCTCGGTCTTAAATCACTGAACTAGTGCCATTTTGTAGAAGATGCAAATTAACTCAGGTCATGAGACTCACTCTCATTTGAATAAATTTGGGCTTGATCAAACGCTCAGCGAGATCAAAGGAAACAAAAACAAGTGACGGAAGTTTGTGCCGTTGTGATTTTGCTTTAATAAATTAAATGCTGCATTTGATCTCAAATTGAGATTCTCAATACACACGAGAGTGTAACGAACGACTAAATAAATTCAGGCTGCGGCTTCTTACACTTCTCTCAAATTAAGCATGAAAGAAGGTGAATTACGACATAATAATCCTATTATTAGCGGAACACCATCCCACATTTTTTAATAATCTATGTATTACATAATTTGCTAACGAGCGATACGTGTACTGTTTACGACATAGCGGTTTCTCAGAACATCACGAAAATGAAAACATGGACATAAAAAACAACCACATAATGTAAATCAAAGGATCAAACAGTACACAAGAGCATATGGTTTCTGATGCTGATAATAATGTGTGTACCCCATGGATGCTAAATATTCGGCATGAGTTTCTGTTCAAACAAAATAGACTGGAATGAACTGCAAAATGATGAACTGCACTGCACAATCATTAAGTGCTATGTACGCAGACTTAATTTATGTACATGCGAATTACTCGTTAAATTAGCCTGCTTCAAATTGTTGTAACACGAGTCATGTGGTAAAAAACGCATGACGATTGCCATTACAGGAGACATGCTGCTTCAGCATAAATAGCTTATGCTCATTTAAATATGATCGGAATGTGGAGTCAAAACAACTACAGTTCAATTTCTTACCTTGAAATCTCTCAAACGAGCAATGTGAATTTTTGCAGGATTCTGATCTGATATAAATTTTAATCAAATTTATAATCCCAGGTCGCTAATTTAATATTTTATCGATGCAAAAAAGAAATAAAGAAACTTGTTGTATTGTTTTGTTCCGCATTCATCTCGGAATTACGGAACTCGGTAAAACCAGCGAAAACCAGACCACAAATTAAACAAACGCAGCTTGTTATTCTCTCACCAACTTTTTAGCACCAACAACAAAAAAGTCGAAAAAGTTGATACGATCACGTCTAACGAAGGACTGTAACTATGTGTATTGGCACACACCGAAAAGGATAAGAAAGTGCAAAAATATAGGAACTAAGAGCATGCGAAAGTAGTGAAGACAAGAAGACTCCACAATCTCCACTGGTCTTCACCTCTTCATTCTATTCTATATATCTCTCAGCATGCAGACTTTCCGTCTCCCCGAATTCGGATTCGGTGCATGGGTTACCAGGATAGTGTAGAATACACTGACACAGAGGAAAAACTGCCGGGATGGTGGGAGCAGAACAACCTGGGAAATCGAAAACCGGGTCGGGCTTTTTCGGTTAAGTAGGAGAGAAATAAATGTGGTTTACTTACCTAAAGGCAAACTTTGCTACTTTCAGTTTTTCTCAAATGTCTATCCAACAACCAATAAAGCGTAACTTTAAACGTCAAGCGGTATCATTTTCAAGGAGAAAGTCAGTCACATAAAAAACAAGTAACTTCGTGATTCACAAAAAGTTAAAATGGGAAGAAATCATATTCTTTCGTTTGTTACGGACGACTGAAGCTGCATTCATGATACTCAAACAAAACCAAAACCAAACCGAACAAAATGTGGAGTTTTTCAAAACCTTGACATGTAGCAGTCGAGTTGGAACAGTTTCATGAAAAATGGATCAATTTAAATGGAGTGACCGACTATCACTCAAATAAGCTGGAGGGGTTTCAGATGTGTTTTATTTTAGGTGATAAGAGCACGCATAGAAAATCGATATGTCATTGTCTTAATTGTTTTCTGGGCAGGGTTAACTGTCGTGTCTGTCCATGACGTTGATCAAGTAAATTTCCCCAAGACACTCGAACACTTTGTCAAAAACTTTCTCGTCTCAAATATTTATGTAAGGCTGCTTTTATAAGAAATTCTCAGTTTACCCTCTGCAAGCTCTTATACTTAGTTCTTATGTATGTACGTAGAAAGTGAGGAAATCGTTTATCTAAAATCTCAGCACTAGACAATATTCTCACCTACGTATGTATGCATAAAACTTGCCTCAAGCAATCCTTTAAAATGAGAAAAACAAGACTAAATGATGCTTACGTTGCTGAATTTCATCAGATGGTTGACGAGGTTTCCTTTCTTTTTAATAAATGACTTTTCTTCTTTTATATTAGAGAGAGAAATGCTCTTATGTATATGCAAGATCGTTCATCGGTCCGTCTGTCTGTCTGATAACTTGTGAACGCAGCGACATACAGATTTCAAGCTTTCCACATAAATTCATAACGTCAAGGCACAGGGCGAGTTCAAGATGGGCACTGCAGGTCACAAGGTCACGGCGCCAGGTCACGGGTCATAGCTATGCAACGGAATACGGCATTTTGGTCTGCGGTGACCGTGTGCACGAAGTCAAAGGTCAAAAACACTATAGACGTGTCAATTTGAACAGATTTTCAAGGAGAAACTCTAACATGATAATCGTTTTGAGTTAAAGTTTCACTCTCTGGTTATACGCGTTGTAACGGTTTATTTGTCTTAACTTTGAAATTGCATTCCAATATTTTCCCAGAACTTATAATGTAATAACCTTTTGAACTTTAATGAAAATTCCTTTGGTGGTTAAGCGAACAAATTTATTTCCACGCTGTGGACAAAAAGATTATGTCGCTTTCACTTTAGGTACATACTGAAGTCAGTAAAGTAGAACTTTCACAAAGACAAGGACGACGGAGAACCACGACTACGCGAAATAAAACTTGGTCCTGCTTTCACCTCTTTCATCGCACCAAAACGAAATTCTCTTGCCCAGTGACCTGATTTGATTTTATTGGTGTGGGTTGTAGTGGAATGCTTATTATATTTTCGCTTATTAAAACGTACGTCATTTAGCCCGAGTTAGGGTCAGACTCCAGTTTTAAATTAGTGTCATATGACCCAAATTGTGGTGTAAATCTACTGGGATTAAACTTTCCTATGTCGCACTAATCGCGATACACCTGAGATAATGTTGTAATCGTCATCCCTTCAAATTTCAGCTTTTTCCCAGGAATTTAAAAACCAGAATGGCCCGTCCTCCTGTCAGTAGAAATTTTCTAGAAATTTATGTACATCGTATTCGTAGATACATAATGCACTTTCACCTTCATACCGATTTTCAGACGGACGTACATATCGGTCTCATGAGGTTTGACTCGGTGCGAAAAACTTGTGCAGCCTCAACACAAGGGAAAGCGCAAAAACTTCGGTCTGCTGGTCTCCTACATTACACACATATATTTGATTCATATGCACGAATGTATGTACCATATTAAGAACAAAGTTGGACTGGTGTGCAGGAGGGGGAGAAAGCCTGCCAGGTTTAATAAATCAGAAACAAGGACAAATAATATGTACATAATTTGATGGTTGCCGAGTTTTACAGCTTTCAACGACATTTGCCTGTACATATGTACATAGATATGTGTTCGTATTATAGGGTTCGTGACGCACTGTGGGAAGAAAGCGGTGCTTAATAATTGCCTTTAATAATAAAAAGCATGCAAATACAAAAAATTGATTCCACATCAATTCAATTACAATAATTAATCAACTTCTAAATCGGCTCATGTAATTTAAAAGTAGATATAAACAGATAAAACGGATCGATTTTAAAAGGTTCTCTCTGTAAATATTTAAATAGTTTCAATTTATTTACGAAGCATTGTATGTATTCCAAATGCTTCGTAAATAAGGGTAAAATACAGAGCAAAAGGTTGATGGTTTCAGAGAAAGTGTAATTTCTCTTGAGAAATCTGCAAGTTTTAGTACGCATATGTACATTCATGCTCCGAATAGAATTTGAAATGAACTGAGAGAACTAATATTTCCAACCCTGCTGAAATAATAAGAAAGTGAAACCACGTTGTGTAAGATGTTTTCAATTTGAATTCCTTTGTTCATTAATCATCAATGCAAAAATTAGGGCTAACCAAACAACTATAATTTATTAAACTGTGCTCCACTTTGTTAAATTAAACTCTGAAATAACAATTTCAATATTTTGCGTCTCAGCAGAACTCGAGATATACATATTTCGTGCTTATATATTTCGCCAACGCCACGTTATTATGTATCTCAAAGGAAGACAAGTGCTTGTCTATTCACTTACTTCCTTCCTGTCATGTTATGAATGCATCTCATGAATTGAATAGGAGCAGAGTTGTGCACAAGCAAAAGCGTGTTCCCCGAACGAAAATATTATTATTATTATGCAAAGTGCGAACTTGGCATTTCGATCCTTGCCCTTTATTCGATATACATAAGAAGTTGCCTTCCTTTTCGGCTTCATCTTCATCAAAACAACGACAAGTCATAGATACAAAAGCGTAAGAATTTCCAATACTAACGAAAACAAATTCCAGACCAAATTCGGATTTTTTTTCTCGAATTATTTCAAAAATATATATAAGCAAAATTACATATTTGTTCACATTTATGTAACATGAGAAAGATAAGTAACATAGTTATCCCTCACACAATAGGATAACCTTTAGCATATTGCAGCATAAATCATTGAATCTTATCATTTTCTAGACAAGCCTGGCCAACAAGAGAATACGAAATGACAAGATACCCGTAATAATAGAGAGAAACCGCCCCAACTCCAAAATTACTATTAATAATACGCCTTTGTTTGAAACGGAGGAGGAAAGTGATGATATCAACGTTTTGTTAAAATGAGCGAGTATAATAGGATTTCTATTTCTGAAAAGCTCCGACGACGTCAGCATCACAAAATCTGGATTTTATAGAGCGAAAGGAGGCGTATATGAGACAGGTTATAGATACGTGTGTGTTGTGAAATGTCACCACCGAATTCCGGTACTTTGGTGGTCGAGATAAGGGGGACATCCTGCACTATCATTATGATGTGCTGACATGAGCATAAAATCAATTCGGTGTGGCTGAACGGGTATCAAGTTACTGATACTCATGTGGAAGTTGATTGTACAAGGTGCAACTAGAAATGCCACTAACTAACGATGGAGGACTTCCAGCGTATGCTCACAGATTTTGAGCAAATACCTAAGTGCCAATCGGTCGCACATTTAAATAATATGAAATTTGCAAATGACACTATCTGCCAATGGGCGTGTTTGGCAGAGATATTTTCATCCGAAGAGGAGAAAGCGCGTAGTAAATTTGGAAAGTGGAAAATTTTAAGTCGAGTTTTCTCCTCTTTGGATGCAAATATCTCCACCAAATCAGAGCATTAACCACTTCGCCCCTATAACGACTATGTGGCGTATTTGATCTTTACACCGGATACGACTATGTGGCGTAAGTTCCCTTGGCTCCGGAATACGACGATGTGTCGTATTGACCCTTGACAACGGATACGACTATGTGGCGTATTTTCCGTTCACGCCGGCATACGACTATGTGTCGTATCCAGAAAAAAATTAGGTCATTGCCCTTCCAAGTATAGCAAAGTATAGTTTTGAGTCAACAAAACGCCCTTTGGGCGGGAAGATGAATTGCCTCTTCGCAATCAATGTTATAAAGGGAGGTGAAAACAATTTATAGCCAAGTGGTTATTTCTAGCCAACACGCCCAGTTTTGAAAACTGCTGTTGGATGGAATTTTTGTCACCTATTTCAACAGCGCTTTCAGATAAGATTAGAGAAATTGTTTTTCTCGGATTTAGAACGGGCGTTTTTGGCGGGAAAATTAAACCTTGGATGTATTGCATGAAATTAATATTATAGGCTACAAATAATATTGCCACTACGACAAAATTCGTCAAAATTAATTATTACATATCTGGAGCTGGTGAAATCTCTTTGGGCGGGAAAATTAAGAGATTGCCTGGAATTAACCAGTTGCCTGCCACATTTGAAGCCATAAAATAGTTGCTAAGCCCCCAAGATAAGGCTTCGAATTTCGTGATCTTTGTACCACTTTTCTTGGAGAAGCATTTTCAATGCGACCCAAGATATGAAATGCTGACAAGTACGCTATAGCCCAAATTAATGCAAGGATGATACTGATAATATGATATGTGGAAATCATTTTAATTATCATTACTTATGCCGCGAAGCAATTTTTTTCACAATAAAACACCATACAACATCATGATAGCCAATTCGAATATAGGCCGGAAAAACTCGGCAAAACAACTATA